GGTGGTCGCAGTCTTCCTCCTTTTTGCGCTTGCAGAGCACGCAGCAGGCCTTTGCTTTGCAGCCTCTGGCTTGGTGTTCCTTTGCGTCGCAATTGTAGCAGCATTTTGAGCAGTCCTCCTGGTTCCTGCAGTTCCCTGCTATGTGGTTAAACTCCATACACTCAAAACACCTTTTGGGTGTTATCTTTGGGCGGACTCTGCACCAAGTCCATCGTAGCCTGATTTTGCCCTTCTCCAGGAGCCGTCTTCCTATGTCCGGCATTACTCGTAGTGTGCCGGTTTGGCTGCCTCCGTACGCCGCCCTTAATCCAACCACCGCGGATTCTGGCAGTTCCACATCGAACTGGGATTTAACCGTACATAAAACGTCCGTTTTGTCGGTGATCTCGTCGATGTCTTCCACCTCGATCAGCATTGTCTCAGTCAGCGCTCTGACGTCGACATTGCTACCAAGGACCGCTTTCATTGTGGTCTGGAGCTCGGCGGTTCTAGGTTCGGAGACCTTGTTTAGGAGGATTAGTAGTTCACCTTTAGCTGTGCGCCTGACAGTCTGTCCTACCTCCTTCAGTTGAGGCTCTGTCTTAACTGTATTCAGAATATCTGCATAGGACCCACCCGTGGAGGTGGCGATGACTATTGCATCATTCCGTGGCGGTCGCACTTTGGGCTTCCGTGCCTTCTGTTTTACCTGTTTCCACTCTCATGGTTTCTTCACAGGTTTTTGGGGATTGCTGGTGCTCTCTGCCATAGCATGTTTTCCCTTATTTCCTCCTTGGGTGGCACCTTATGCATCGCCTTTTTTTCGATCACGTTTTGTACCGCCGATAGGACTTCTCTCTGAAGGTATGCAATTTCATCGACTATCTCCCTCATTCCGTTTGTGATGGACTGCTTTCACGTCCATTAGTGCGTGGGTGTACTGCAGGAAGCTTGGGCCTTTGCCCGCAGTCCTGCTTGTCTTCAATCGGACGTTACTATTTTAAGAAAAAAAAAAAGAAAATAGAAATTTTTAAATTTTAAAAAAAATTTTTGAAAAAAAGATAATATAAAAAAAAAAATTAAAAAAAAAAAAAAAAAAAAAAAAAAAAAAAAAATAAATATTTTGGAAAAAAAAAAAAAAAAAATTTTTTTGGTTAGGGGGGGGGGGGGGGGGGGGGGGGGGGGGGGGTAAAAAAAATAAAAATTTTTTAATATTTAAAATTTTTTTTTTTTTAAAATATTTTTTAAAAAATTTAAATTTTTTTTTTTAATGAGCCGCCCAGGATTTTCCTACCCGCAATATCCTGCTGGTCTTCGATCAGACTTTACTATTTTAAAGAAAAGAAAAGAACCGCCCAAAATTTTCCTGCGTGCTACAGCACGCACTTATCCGCTTGGCTGCAGCCTATCCAAAGCTTACTGCTATAGCACCCGCAGCCTTTTTCGCACACTACAATCAGCTGGTTGCGCAAGCGCATTTCACTACTGATTTGATGTTTACTAAATGAGAAAAACGCGGGAGAAAATTATGGCAGCAACTATGCCAAACAACGAGTGGAAAATAAGAAGAGGCAGGGATGCCTCCCGTCCCTTGCCAACGACCGGCCCCTGCCTGGTCGTCAAACCTGTTGGGGATTGACTCCCGGGCTGTTCACAGGTGTCATCCACGCTCTTCTGGCCGCCAGCTGATGTCCAGGAGCGTGTCCAGATACTTTACGCCGGATGGCCGGCTGTACTTTTTCCTTTACGGTGAGAACTTGAATAATTATGTGGAGCGATTTGAAACGCGACCGCACTCAGAACTCTCTCTCTCGCGTTATGAGTACCATGAAAGCAATGTTGACGGCAGTTGAGACAAGTAAGCGATCTTGGCAGGATGCCTTAAAACAGGTGCAGTTGGCCATGAATTGAGCGGCCAATAGAGACACTAAGCTTAGTCCGTTGGAGTTACGAATTGATAAAGAGGCAAGACTAATGGGCATGATGCCAATGGTAGAAGTAGACATTGAATAATTCAGAATACGAGAAACAAGGATACAATAGGAATAAGGCTAAAATTGTATGGCGCATGGCGCTTGCAGTTCTTTTGCTGATGCAATAGAGATAATGTAAGAATGATAATGAAATAGTTGTGGTGAAATAGAAGAATTGGCGAAGAGAGACAGATTGCTCGCGAGTCAGTCTGCTTCGAGTTACAAGACGAAGAACATTGCAAGCGACTTTCTGTGCGAAGTGCCATTAAAAAGAAATCATGTCTGGTGTCTGCACTACCGCTGCTGTGTCTCTGCTGGTCGTCGGGTTGGCTGAGTGGGGTGATGAGGGAAGTCGCGGTGTCTGGTATTCGGGTCGAGAGGCGGTGAAGGGAAGGGTACGCTTGGCCGGTGTTAACTTATATATTCTTGATCAGGATCAATAGCGAAGTCGATTGAGCCATGTCCGTCTGTCCGTCCGTATGAACGCTGAGATCGCAGGAACTATAGCAGATACAAAATTGAGATTAAGCATGAAGATTCTTGAGGTCCCGAGACAGCGCTGCCCCGCCCACAAATCACGAAAAACTAAAATCGCTGAAATCTCGGGAACTATTAGAGCTAGAAAGTTGAAATTCAGTATATATAAACTTTGGATGCCAGTGTATCTTTTAGTGGTACTATTATCTGGCCACTTCCACCCATATGCCCACCAAGCTCAAAAGACGGTTTTCGCATTTTCAAAAAAACCGGATAAGTCGGTAACTATAAGTGATAGAAAGTTCGGATTAAGCATGTAGGTTTTTATGGTGTTCCAAATGCGAATTGTTTTTTTTTCATCTAGCCACGCCCAGCCCAACGCACACAAAAACCCGAAAAACCCAAAAATGGAAAAATCTCGGGAACTAAGACAGCTAGAAAGTAAGGCCTAGGAATATGTATTTTAGGGATGCAACTGCAACTTCCAACGAGTTTTCATCCGGCCACGCCCACTCTAACGCCAACAAACCGCGGAACACTGGGGCGTATATAATAATATTATGAATGCCTTTGTTTGACCTTGTATAACTTATTTCTGTTAATATCTATCGATTTACCAAAGATTTTTTAAATCGGAAGATTATTTCGCCACTTATGAAGAAATTTAGGTTATAAGGCCTCACATGTTGCAGTGACTTCACTATCAGTTACTCGACATGCTTTCTCCGACAATAGGTGGTGCTTGCTTTTCCACTAGCAAAATGAATATTTTAAAATTATGTAAAACAGTAACGGGTATCTTATAGTCGCGGCCCTCGACTATAGCGTTTCCTCTTTTTTTTATTTTCATCTATTTATTTATGCTTATTTAGAAGTGCTGTTGAAACTTACTATAGAGAAAGTAGCAGAGAGCTAGTATACTTCAAAACTTTTAATAGTGCCAGGGATGAGAATGTTAGTTAAGCACGATCCCAATAGCACTATCCAACCCCAATCGCCGTCAGGCGGAACATACTCTCTGTCATCCTTTTTGTCGAGTAAGCTCACTGTGTATACGTTAAACAGAAAGAACAAGTTTAGAATTTTGAAAAAACACCGCATTAAGTACAAACGTTTTAAAATTTTAATAATCATTACATTTTTTCAGGCCACGGTATAAACTTCGCTTTCAAGGCTGTTCCCTCTCCCACATCCCTCTCTCGGCTCACGAATTTAAACTAGAATTCCCCACAGTGCCCACCAGGTTGCTTACGCATAGACTTAGGTTCTAGTTTATAGATCGTTCTCAGTACAAGCGCCTACTAGACGGGGCGCGACCACGCCAACTTCAACCATCAAGGTGTAAGCTTAGGAAAGTCACCGTTAAATTATATATATATAAAAATGGTGTACATATACTGGAAGCGAAGCCGAAAAAACTCTGCGCAATTAGTTTCGAGAAAAATATGGTTTGTAAATATTGAAATGAATTAATTAAGTCCCAGTAATTGTAGTGCTGGAAGCGAAAAAAACCTACCATATTTTTTTGAAACAAATCGCGACAGCAGTATTTGAAGCTGTCTATATATACTTCGGAATAGCATAACAATCTTATAAAGCTTCTCTACCGGGTCGTCAAAATGCATCTTTGGCTTAAGCCAGTCTGTTCATCATGCGGTCTGCTTCCTAATAGACTTTTTTCTTAGTTAATCAACGCCTATAAGGTAGGTTTTGTTTTCTTCGGGAGGTCGTTTTAAGCCTTGATATCTCGTCTATTACTGGCGGGATTCCAAGATATCCCTGTATGTTATCGTTTCGAACATATTATGGTGCACCTGTATACTTTTGAAGAATTTTAGTTTGCGCCTGCTGAATAATGCCGAAGTTACTCCTCTTGCACTTCCCCACAGCTGAGTTCCATATATCCATATTGGCATAAGTTTGGTATTGTAAAGCAGGACCTTCTAGTCTATGCGCAAGGGAGATCAGGAGTTCATAATCCAGTAGAGACTGTTTGCACCATTGTTCGTTGATTTTAACACGCCATTCAGGTAACCACTTCTCGACTAACACTAACACACTCGACTAACAGTTGTTCGGTAGCTCGAGTCGGCTATTTCGAGCGGCCCAGGAAAGTGATGTCGTCAGCAAACTTGGATGTAGTTAGAGACTAGTTTGTGGGGATATCAGCTGTGCATAGTACAAAAATTAACTAAAATATAAACTAATCCACTTATGGATTGCCGGTAAGCCGACTGCACAGTCGAGGGCAGCTCTGGTTCCGTGCTAGAATTACGATAACGCTGATAACCAATAACTGAGATAAAGGTCCGTTACATCTACACATTTGTATCGGCTTCCTTAGGCAAAGCTTAATTTGCCGCTGGTGCGACCTAAAGAATTTCACGAGATTTCATGTAAAATTAATATAATAAATCAATTTTCGAAATATTTAATTTATCTTCATTCGTTTTAATTTTAATATTCTATAATTTGGCATATTTTTAGCAAAAGTTAAAAATCGTTACAATAGTTTTTATGATTTCCCATTATATTCTATTTGCTTTTTATAGGTCCCGGGCTATTATAGTATTATAATCAAACAAGATTTTTTTATTCAACGTAATAATTACGACTAAAGCAGTACTAAAAAAACATTTGGAAGAAACAAATAAAGGTTTCCAATTATCTTTCATAGTCTCGGCCCCTTAAATTACGCACGTCATTCATCATCACTTTTTGTACGCCATTTTAAGCTTAAAATCTAGTTGTTATTGTACGTCTTTTAATACAGGAGTTGGTTGTTCATTTAGTAGCCAGCCTATTCATCAATTTGTGGATTTTCTTTTTCTTCCGTTTCGGACCTGCATCGGCTAATCCATGGCATAAAACTCCATAGGCTAGCTCCAGCTAACAGAGTCAAGCCTAGGGCGTGAAACAGAGGATTGTAGTCATTAACAGCCTCAAACCAGTAATTACAAAGAGGCGGTCCAATTAACTGCAGCAATCCATTAATAAAAAGGCTGATACCATAGGATGATGTCAAACGTTCCGTACCAAGCATATCTGCCATTATCACGGCAGTAATTCCGACGTAAATTCCAGAAGCTAGGCCAAATAGCGCGCACCAAAAGCATACCGAGCGGTAAGACCATGCAAAAGGTAAAAGCGCAAGGGAAAATCCTGATATGGTCAAGCCGCCAACAAAGTACCAGGTCTTAGGTATGTACCCCATATCCGAGAGTGCTGATCCCCCAATACGACCTATTAAATCTGTGGCAGAGACTACTGAAAGTAGATATGCAGATAATGATTTGTTAAAGCCCCTGGCTTCTCCAAAACTGGGCAGCAAAATGATAAAATTAGTGTAACTTATTGCATTCGTCGAGTTGGAAATGAGTATGACCAAGTACATCGGGTCTTTTAAAAGGCTCAAATCGAAAAATTTCGTTCGTTGCTGATACTGCGCCTCGTTCTGGGCCTCGACGTTAGATTGATTTCCATGAGGGCCTGTATAGTCGCATGCAGTGCCCGCGGATCCACTACTACCGACTGAGCGCAGAGACAAGTGTGAAGAGAATTCTTTCGGCTGGAATGACAGTGTGCTGCCATGATATGGAGTGCTAACGTATAAAAAACTGCTGGTTGACGGGGAGCGCTTTGATAGTCGTGACTTTGAAAAATTCCGAGCGAATTTGTTTGAGCTAGATCGGCCCTCAGGAACTGCATATAAGGAAGATTGCGAGTTTCAATTGCCCAGGCGTGAATGTTTGGTTTCTTTGGGGTAACCTCAACGGGGTACTAATCTTACGAGATCGGGATTGAAACTCTTCTCCTGGTTTTGAGTAGCTTTGAACGACCGCTGCAGATGCGCTCCGCACGAACTGTAGCTTTTCATCTTCGGGTAGATACAGTGGCGACGGAGGAGAGTTGTACGCTAACAACTGTCTGTCACTTTGCTGGTTTTTAGACGCAGACTGGTCTACATTCTCGAACTTCATCACAATGCCAATATCTTCCTCTTCAGGAATATCTTCCAAAGCCTGGCGTGCACAAGGTACTCGAACCATGTGCTGTTCAACAGGCTCATAGAAAAGAGCAGCTACAAATACGTTCATAGTAATACCCCCCATTATTAGACAAGATCCATGGTATCCATATGTCTCTAGTAGCCATCGGAGAAGGGGAGGAAGAATAATGCTACCCAACGCGCTGCCGGAAATGCATAGGCCGTTAGCCAATCCACGTAACTTCGCAAAGTACGACGTAACAATGTAGACTGTGGGTGGAAAGGAGAGACCAGCTCCGATTCCGACTAAAACACCATAGCTGGAAGAAAATAACACGGATTTTTTTTAAATCATATTATATGTATCATTCTGAATTTACCTGATATACAAGTATTCAATAGATGATGCCCAAAACGAGAGTATCATTCCCAGTGATGCAGATGCCCCTCCAAGAAGAGTTACTGTACGATATGAGTACTTTACAGATAGTATGCTCGAAATTGGGCCTGCAAATTTTAATTTATATTTTCATCTATTTATTTATGCTTATTTAGAAGTGCTGTTGAAACTTACCCAATGAACTATAGAGAAAGTAGCAGAGAGCTGGTATCCATGCAGCCTTTGTGGGCGATGAGTTGAATGCATCGGTGAATTCCGAAAATAATACTCCAAAACTTTTAATAGTGCCAGGGATGAGAATGTTAGTTAAGCACGAACCCAATAGAACAAGCCAACCCCAACCGCCGTCAGGCGGAACAAGGTCATACTCTCTGTCATCCTTTTTGTCGAGTAAGCTCACTGTGTATAGGTTTAACAGAAAGAACAAGTTTAGAATTTAAAAAAAAAACAACATTAGGTACAAAGATTTTAAAGCTTTCACTATACTCCGCTTTCCAGGCTGTTCGCTCTCTCACATCCCACTCTCGGCACCGGATTTCAAACTAAAATTCTCCACAGTGCCCACTAGCTTGCTTACGAATAGACTTAAGCTCTAATTTATAGATCGTTCTCAGTACAAGCGCCTACTAGACGAGGCGCGACCACCCCAACTTCAACCATCAAGGTGTAAGAAAAGTCGCCGTTAAATTATATATAGATACAATTTTTTTTTTGTTTTTTTTCTATATAGCATTTGCTTTTATTTATTAAATCTGCTCTTAGTTTTGAGACTAACAATAAGTTGACGAATCTTAACATTAAAATTTAACTAAGACTGCATTCTGGTTGCGTTGGGGCCCTAAGGTCGATCGCTGGGTGGGTAAGTCATTGCGACGAAGACGTGATTGGTTGCTCAACCTTGTTAGACCTCTCCCCAGGTGGTTAGGGTGCACCGATAGCTTGGAGTAGTACTTTACCTTCTGTTCTGCGATCACTTCTTTGACTGGTAGAATGTTTAAGTTGCGGTGTATGTTTTCGTTGCGAACGTGCTACGGTGCCCCGGTGATTGTTGCTATTGCTGGCGTTCCCCCATAACTGGGAGCCGTACATCCATATAGGTTTTAGTACCGAGTTGTACAGCAGGACTTTATATTCAAGGCTAAGAGGTGACCGAGCGTTGATAAGCCAATGAAGGCTGCTGGCTTTTAGCTTTAGGTGTGTTCTTTTGGCTTCCATGTGCCGGCGCCATGTGAGTCTTCTATCGAGATGTACTCCTAGGTATGTTACTTTGATTCGTTGTGGGAGTAGAGTGTTGTTTAACGTAATCGGCGGGCAGTTTTGACTGTTCAGGGTGAACGTAACGTGCTTGCATTTTAGTTCGTTCACTTTAATTTTTCATTTTTAACATATTTCAACATTGACCATATGAAGAGCTAGCTGCGCAGTTGCTGTGTCATCGGCAAACGTAGATGTTGTTAGTCGTGTGCATGTCGGGATGTCTGCTGTTGTTGTTGGCCCTAGCACGCTACCTTGAGGAACTACAGCTCCAACAGTGTAATTATCAGATATACCAATGTTGCACCTCACAACAAATTTTATGTCGTAAAGGTAAGACTCTAAAATCTTGTGGGTGCTTTAGGGGAGCATTGTCTTGATCTAGTACATTAGACCTTCTAGCCAGACTCTATCAAATGCTTGAGAGACATCTAAAAATATGGCAGTATAGTACTCTCGTTTTTTGAACGCGTTCCGAATTTCTGATGTTATCCGGTTGACCTGCTTATGGTCCATACTTTCCCCGAAACCCAAATTGGTGTGACGGGATTCCTTCCTGGATTATCAGGTATGTGTTTTTCCGAGTCCGTACGACGTGGATTGTCGGTTTCCCCCGGATTTGCTACTATTATTGTAATTGACTTTTCCAACTCACTGGAAAAGGGCCAAGTTTTGCGATGGCATTAAAGAGCTGGGTGAGAGTGCAAACGGCGCAGTATGGGAACTCACAGATCATTTTGGGAGTTATAAGGTCGCAGACTGGAGATTTTTTTCGATTCAGTTGTCTTTTGATGATGTTAACGATTTCGTTTGGGCGAAACTCAATTGGCTCATGTTGCTGGGGCTCATATGATAGAGTCGACAAAGTAAATGCATTAGTGGCAGGATTTGGTTGGAAGACAATTTTAAGGTGGTTGGAAAACGTGCTGGCTCTGTCTGCGCCACTGCGCGCCCAGCCGCCTGTGGAATTTCTAATAGGCGTAACGGTTTCTTTCGATGAGCTCAGAGTTGGATGAGCTCTCCATAGTGAGTGTTTTGTACTATTAGTTGACAATGGCTCTATGTAGCGGCGGTGGACATATGTTTCTTCTTGCTGTAGAGCATGAGCAAGTTGACGTAAGGCATGTTTTAAGCTTTGCTTTGCCATTCTCCTCGCTTTTCGAGGACAAGCTGTCCGATTTGTAGATTTGTTTTTTTTTGATTGCATTGTGTGTTTATAGTTTGAGGTGTTGAAACTCGAGCTGCAGAGACGAGTATAGACTCCAGTGAATTAACAAAACAGTCTACGTTGGCTTCGTCGCTGAGGTGAGGACTTAGCTCAATGTGTGAGCTAATATACTTCCTGTACTTAACCCAATTGGTTTTATGTGAGGTCAGTTTTAATGCTTAATTCCATGTTCCTGGATATCCGGAGAAGAGTAAAAAGGACAGGCGAGTGATCAGATGAAAGATCCGAAAGGCATTCGTCGCTTATCAGATTTTTAGGTATGTTTTTGGTAATCGCAAAGTTGATTAAATCGGGAAGTTTCTTTGGGTCTGCCGGCCGGTATGTTGGTGTGCCAAAAATAACGTAGTCGAGCTTGTTCTTAGCTTTGATAATTGCATTATAGAGCTGCTTTCCTTTTGGAGTCACGAGACGAGATCCACAGGTAGTGTGTTCTAATTTCAAATTTTTCGATTATCGAAACCTTTTAGAAGTTATACGAGGTGTGTTCAAAAGTAGGTGACTTTTCAAATTTCAAATTTTTTTCGATTATCTTCAGTTTTGGGAAAAGAAACACATGGGGAGACCAAATCCGGTGAATATGGTGGCTGAGGCATTATTGTGGTGTTGTTTTTGGCAAAAAATCCAAATCCTTTGATCCATATTTTTCGATAGCAAAATCGCCGAGCTCGCAAATAACTTGTAACTTTACGCCTCACAACCAAACAAAGAGGATGTTCCATTGAAACTTGGTACAGATGTTAGGAAGTGTGTACCAATATAACAAAACAAAAAAATCGATAATCAAAAATTTGAATTAAATTTGAAGGTCACCTTAACTCATCTTCAGCTTGGATTGTAGTCTCCTGCTGCTATGAAGTGGTCTCCAAGTGAGTTGAAAAACTGCATAAACTCATCTTCAGCTATGGTGAAGCGTGGAGAGCAGTATACGGCTAGAGTTTATTGCTTGCTAGTATTTAGGTGTATATTTATGGAAGTGGCCTGTAGGTACTTTTTAGCAAATTTCGTATAATGGTGCTTAATACGGCTTCTGATTAAAATTCCAGTCCCGTGTGCTTTACCATCTGGATGATTTGTTCCATAGAATGAATATCCTCGTAGTTGGAAATTGTATCTGTTTGTAAGATGTGTTTCTGAAAGCAGCATTACGTCGATTTGATTGTCTAGAAGGAATTGCGCTAACTCGAGTTTATGCTGCGAAACGCCGTTAGCGTTCCACGTAGATATTCGTAGGGAAGTCATTATTTGGATTGTTGTGAAACCAGCATTAGAATCAATAGATTTTGGTTTCGCATCAGATATTGCAAAGTTGTACGCATAACCGACATAAACTCCGTAAGGCTTTTTTGTAGACTGCATATCATAGCTTCAAAGTTACTTTTTGGCTGCTCCGGCGGTTAAAGCTGCTGACCCGTGTTCGGTTTTTGGTATGCTGATTGCGGCAATGAGTTTTTTGAGGCTGGGGTAGCCAGTCCTGATTTTAAAGCACTTGCGTATGTAACATTTTTGGCTTGTATTAGTGTAAAAGCCCTTATGTATAGTATACAAAATTTTTATGTACACTTTTGGCAGCGGTGGCTACTCGGCCACCGCTGAACAATATATGTAGGCAGTCTAGAAATTTACTTCGAAACTATAAGACGTTGTTTTTGATTTAACACAAACTAACTCCCAACGAAACTAAACCTTTGATATCAAGCCCTTATAACAACTGGAACTAACTATGGACTAACTGGAATCTCCCTTAAACCGCATCCGCAGGACTCGATACTATAACAAAGATGCCAAGTTTTGTTTTGAAATTATATAAAATATACAGCCGTGACAAACGCAAAATGGGAAGCAAGCATAAAAAATTTAAAGAAAATAAAACAAGAAGAATATATGTGCAGTTTTTTTGCCAAAAAAAAAGACAAAACGAATTTTAAAACAAAAAATAAATTATTAAAAAAAAAAAAGAAACGAGTACCCAGGGAAATAGTTCTACAATCCCATCGCAAGTTTTGTAAGAACGTCAGTTACAAGATTTATGGCAAATATTGTAAGCTGGTTTCATGTCGGAGTAACTCTAAACGGTAAATAGAAGATATATGTGAAAAATAAAATTATTAAGAAAATGGGTATCCATTGAAATAGTTATACAATCCCATCGTGTTTTTGTAAGAACATCAGTTACAAAATTTATGGCAAATGTGGTAAGCTGGTTTCATGCCGGAAAAACGCTAAACATTAAAAAAAAAGAAATATCTTATGAAATAAAGCAATTTTGTGTCCAATAAAGACGAAACAATCCTTGCGATCCCATGTCGCGTTTTGTAAAGGGTGTTCAGCTTCAAGGAAATTCAAGATATAAAGAAAGTAATATAGCAACACTACTTAAATACATATTAAATTTATCAAAAAAAAAATGAGAAAGAGAAATACTATTTTTTATATTCTCGCAGGTAAATTGCTACAAGAGTACAACACCTGAGAGACACTACACCACAGACGCGTCAATACATTAACTACTTAAGTATCTTACAAATAATAGTCTAAGTACATACACATATGTACACTAAACACAAAGAGCAGAATTTTTTTTCATAAGTAATAATAAACTAATTTGATGCCGAATATTTCAAAAGTTAAAAGCCTACTGCCAACTAACAGAATTACTACTATAGGCGGTAGCAAGAGACAGAACCGTAACGAACCAATACCCCAGGAAAGCTCTCTATCCCTAAGACCGATTATTACACCCTCACCCGTGACCATGCACAATAGTACAATTCTTCGCCTTCCCACCTCAACACGGCGATGGTCAACCCTGTCGAATTATTTAATTCAATGAGGATCCCAGACGTAATTCGCTTTTGCCTCCATACTCAGGGGACCCATTTACACTTAACGAATTTATCAACAACGTAGAGGAAATAAT